TGCCCTTCTCCCCGGTGACCGCTCGCTCGCTCGCTCTGAGTCACCAGGAAATCTGATAAGGCTCCACTGAAACCTCTGGAGCAGCCTGGGGGGGCCGCTGGCACCGCGGCCGGCTCAGCCTCCCTGATTTCTTGGCTCTCCTCCACCATCCTGGCTGTCACATGTGTGTGACCAGAGCGACCCAAACCTGCTTTGCTGCCCAAACTTTAGGAGCCGAGGGGCCTTTTGGTAAAGCTGCAGCCCCTAATTCTTGTGAGAAGTGCATGGGCCCTTGCCATGGCATGTGGCAGCCGAGCTTTGAGCTTTGAAGGTGACGTTTGCTGGTTTGCACCAGTTACACTCCTGATTTACGCCTCCCAAACCGCTAGTGGTCAGAGGCTGCAGGGAATAGGGAGGGCAGTAGGGGAGCAGCGTGGAAAATCATCCCCAAACGTGACCCATCAATTAAAGCACATCATCAGCCCCAGCAGGAACACGCTAGGTGTGTCAATTCCTCTTTTCCGTTTGGCCGTGTGCTGGGCAGCCAGATTAATCTGTTTTAGCAATCAGGCAAGAAACCCTGAGCGTTTCTCGTTCTGAAGGACTTAGTCATATCTGGGTGAGAAGCCTGAGCTGGTGATGTGGGCAGAGCCCCGGGGGCTGCTTGGCCTCCAGAGGCAGTTCCTGGAAGCAGAGCAGGTACAGAACAGCTGGAAATGCTCCTGTGCAATCCCTGGGTGGGGTTTTGCTCCCTCCTGGCACCAGGATCAGCAGAGCTGCGGTGGGGTGGGGATGCTGGGGGTTTGCAGGGGATGCAGCACCCAGGGAAGGGCTCTGGCAGCAGTTCCTGCTGGTTGGACAAGGGCCTGTCAGCCCTGCAAAGGGCTTGGGTTGGTGCAGGTTCTTGGCCAAGAGGAAATTTCCTTGCTCTGGCCTGAGGGTTTTAACCTGCAGACAAATCCCTGTCCAGCTCCAGGTGTCTGCAGGACAAAGCTGGGTAAGATCTGTGTCTATGAAACTGCATTTGCACCCTGGGACGTCCTAACTGTGGCACAGGGTGTGAAATTGAACTTTGTGTGTGTGTTGCGGGGGTTTTACACTGAATTTCCTTTTTACTTCTGTGTAGGTTGAGGATAGAAAAGGAGACAGGAAAGTCGCCAGGAAACTGGTGGCTTTTAAAATTATTATTAAAATAATTTAAAATAATTTTAATTTATTATTAATTTTAAATACATTATTTTAAATTATAATTAATTTTAAAATACATTATTGAAATGCCTTTTAAAATTAATAATAATTAAAAATACCTTTTGTATGACTTAAATTTCAACAGAGTGAAAAGAGCAAGCTCTCAGGCAGGTTTATTCCTTGCTCCCTGCACCTTTCCTTGGGACAGCCACAGCCCTGTTCCACGAGGATCCTGTCCAGGTGTGGCTCTCCTGCAGGAGCTGCACCGCTGGGAGAACACCTTGTTTGCATTCCCCAGCTTTCACACTGCCCCAGCAAACTCCGGGTCTGACAGACAGGACCAGCAAGTCCTGCTTGGCCCCAGCCTGGCACTCCTGTCACCAGCCTGAGAGAAAACCCAGCTCCCCTGGCCCAGTTTCCTCTGCACCAGCAAGGAAAACTTCCATGTCAAGGGCATCTGAATTTTCTGCGTGGAGCTTTGGGTCCCCATGGAGATGGCATCTGAGAAAAGAAGATAAAACCCTTTTGTGAGGATGGATCCCGGTTATTATTTGTTTAATTAGAATCTGGACTGATGCAGAGGCAACAATTAACAATTACCTTCTGTAGAGGACTTTGACAGCAGCTGAATAGGTTAATGACTTGCAGGATGGAGACAAATCATTGCAGCTGTCATTTATGAGGCTGGAGGTGCGAGGAGGAGTCCCTGGGCCTGATGTCTCTGATTTAAGGGGCTTTTCCTCCTTCTTTTGGAATAACCAAGCAGGAATTTTCCTCTGCCGTGCAGCTGGGAATATCTGGAAGCCAGGGAATTCAGTTCCAAATGAAAACTTAAACTGTTCATCGCACTTTATTAGCAGGCTTCAGGAATGCTGAATTGTGGAAATAAACTATAGGGAGGTGAGTGGGTAAGTTTTGCTTTCTTTCACACACCTCCCCTTTTTGGGAGGGTTCATTAGGAGGATTGGGACTGGGCTTGCTTGTCCTCGGTGTCCTCAGGGCGGGTGGGAAGGATTTTGCAAACACTGCCACCCCCTGGCTCTTTGCGCTTTGTTTTATACAGAGTTTTATTTTCCGAGCAGAGCCGGGCTCGGTGCTGCCGCAGGGAGGGGAGATCCCGAAGGGTCAGGGGGTCTCAGCCAGCCCGGCATGGACGGTGCTGGGGTGTCCCTGCAGAACCAGGGGTTCAGCTCCTGTGCCCGTGTGGGGGTCTGAATATATGTTGTATTGTAAGACCTGTGTGGGTCCGAGTTGCTCCAAACGAGCTGCAGCTGCAGGGTCCTTAGTTGGGCAGCAGCTGTAGCTCGTGAAGGTAACTGAAATAAATAGGGGTGGGTCAAGAGCCCA